GTACTGGGATGTACTGGGAGGGTACTGGGATGCACTGGGAGGGTACTGGGATGCAGTGAGGTGGCACTGGGAGGGTACTGGGATGTACTGGGAGGGCGCTGGGGTGGAGCTGGAATGTACTGGGATGCACTGGGAGAGTACTGGGATGTACTGGGAGGTTACTGGGATGCAGTGAGGTGGCACAGGGAGGGTACTGGGATGCACAGGGAGGGTACTGGGATGTACTGGGAGGGTACTGGGATGCAGTGAGGTGGCACTGGGAGGCACTGGGAGGATGCTGGAATGCACTGGGAGAGTGCCGGAACGGAGCAATGGCACTGGGAGGGTACTGGGATGTACTGGAAGGGTACTGGGATGCACTGGGAGGGTACTGGGATGCAGTGAGGTGGTACTGGGATGTACTGGGAGCGTACTGGATGCAGTGAGGTGGCACTGGGAGGGTACTGGGATGTACTGGGAGGGTACTGGGATGCAGTGAGGTGGTACTGGGATGTACTGGGAGCGTACTGGATGCAGTGAGGTGGCACTGGGAGGGTACTGGGATGTACTGGGAGGGTACTGGGATGCAGTGAGGTGGCACTGGGAGGCACTGGGAGGATGCTGGAATGCACTGGGAGAGTGCCGGAACGGAGCTGGGATGTACTGGGAGGGTACTGGGATGGAGCTGGGATGTACTGGGAGGGTACTGGGATGGAGCTGGGATGTACTGGGAGGGACCTGGGGTGGAGGTGGGATGTACTGGGATGTACTGGGAGGGTACTGGGATGGAGCTGGGATGTACTGGGATGTACTGGGAGGGTACTGGGATGGAGCTGGGATGCACTGAGGTGACACTGGGATGTACTGGAATGCAGTGAGGTGGCACTGGGATGTACTGGGAGGGTGCTGGAATGGGACTGGGATGCACTGGTATGGCACCAGAACGGAGCTGGGATATACTGGGAGGATACTGGGACGGAGCTGGAATGTACTGGGAGGGCACTGGAATGGAACTGGGCTGTACTGGGATGCACTGGGAGGGTATGGGGATGCCATGGGGTGCACTGGGATGTACTGGGATGTACTGGGATGGGCTGGGGATGGCACTTGGACACACTGGGATGACACTGGGCTGCACTGGGCCATACTGGTCTGTACTGGGGTCCGTACATCGCAGTGCCATCCCAGCTCATCCCAGTACATCCCAGTACCATCCCAGTTCCATCCCAGTCCATCTCAGTCCATCCCAGTTCCATCCCAGCACATCCCAGTCCATCCCAGTTCCATCCCAGTCCATCCCAGCACATCCCAGTCCATCCCAGCACCATCCCA